GGTCAGCCTACATCTGAAAATCTATCTGGCTCGATAAAGGCCGAGTACTTATTGAGGCAGATAAGGCAAACTAGCGAGGTCGCGGAGTCATAAAAATTTGGTGTAGGGGAGATAGTTCAAACGTTCGATTTTTCGAATTAGCGTCCGACTCCAATATGACAACCAAGACTAGCAGCTGAGCGGAAAATCGATATTTTTTATGCACCACTGTTATTATATGTCTTGCAGTAGAGCTTCATATTATATAAATCACAAGCCGGGCAGTGCTTAAGAGCCGTTTACCGATCGCTATTCGTTTTTTGATTTCCAAATGGCGACCGTTTCCCATCCGCGTAACTTCTGTGGTAAGGTATGCAGACGAAATTCCTGTGTATGGAAGAATAAGCATAATACTTATTAATAAGCACCGTTAAGTTTGTCCTGACGAATGTGTAAAATGCTAATCAGAAGAGCACAATGCATCAGACTGCCAGCCATAGGTTTCGAGCATACTCCCGCTAATGGTTGACTATAAAGATGGTCAAGTTTTTAAAGCAAAAAACCTCGTAAAGAATGCTAAAAATACCTGGAACACTACCTATAACTGACCATTATGTCCTTGCATTGTACTGGCCCGCTGATGAATTGCCGAAAACATATGTTCGCCAAAATGAATTCTCAAATAAAAAATGGACTGAAGAACAACGAAGAAAAGTGTGAGCATTAATGAAATTATAGAATGACGATTTTTGAGGTGTCCATTGCTAAGAGTGGTAGAGTATTTGTCCTCCATACAAACCGCAAGTGTAGATCCCTCGCATGTTTGAACCAAGAAGGCTAGTGAGTTGGACTTAACTAGATAGACAATTAGCGATTGGCCGAAGGCAGCAGTTCTCTTAACATAAGGCTGAGGGGCCCTAGTGCACATAGTCCTATGACCTGAATTTCAAGCATCCACTGGGAAGAAATAGACTGTTTAGGTTAAAGCATATGAGAACAATTATGTCATTTTTTCGTTTATGATGTGGTATCTAAATAAAGAGTATACATGGAACCTACTTTTGTGCTTGATCAAGGTAGCCTGAGCTACCTCATACACCGCAGCAGCAACTGTACAAATACACATATTCATCACGTCAATCTTAACTACCCATAACAAATAAGTAGCTAAGATTTCAAAATAAATAGCAAGCCGAACGATTGTACTACACGGCCATTCTATTTTATATAGCTCAGGCTCAATAGTGGGAGAAAGGCCCATATATGAGTGATCCCAGAATACGGATAAGTTTTCAAATGCCTGCTGCCTAAAATCAGTTCATGTGATAATAAAAAAGATTGTGTTTGTTTTTAACAGGTGGCAATGAACCGAAGGTTCCCGTCTATCAACCTTGCGCCATCGCTGTAAATCCAACTGAGGCTGGTCCAGGAAAGGTTGTGGGTCGTGTCACCGGACCGACTGGTGCGCCTTGCGATGTACAGACCGTACCGCTACCAAACGGCAATGTTAACGTCTGCTACACACCGCAGATGCGCGGTGATCACGTCGTGGAGATTCTGTTCGGAGGTCAGGTCATACCTGGCGGTCGATTCAACCAGAAAGCCGTGAATCCCGACGAACTGGTGCCTGCTGTTGTTGTAAGTTTATTAGAGAACGTTGACAGTCTACTGATAAAACAACAGTAGCAGGATATATTTAGGTGTCTTTTCGCTTACGCTGACTACTACTTTCCGATTTTCCTGTAGGAGGAGCGCTTGGAACGGGTACCCATGTCCACGCAGCATTCTACTACCATCACTCAGTATCACGAGGCGACAAAGACGAGTGGTTACTTCCCCATCGATTTCAAGCTTCCAATTGGGGCCAAATTCGCAAACGTTGAAGGTTAGCTATCCCACATCCTTGGCGGGAAGCTAGGTATCTCTTACTTCTATGAATGAAGTTTAAATCTAACACGTAAATTAGCTAGACATAAAAATACAAGAATTTTTT